GGAGGGTCTGGGGGACAAAAGAAGTGGGAAGGGGTCTGAGATGGGTTTAAGGGGAGATAGAGGTTGGCAGGAGACTGGGGGATGCAGGAGATCCAGAATGGGATTGGGAAGAGACGTGGGAACAGGAGAAATAGGAATGTGGAGTAATTTGGGGAGAGGCGAGTAGGGGCAGGTGGCTTGGAGGGGGAAGAAGCTCCTGGGGGAATAGCAGGAGGAGGCGGCTTGTCAGCCTGGAGCAGGTTAGAGATGTGGCTGGGGGGGCTCCGAGGCCGGTTGGGGCGGGGGGGAGAAAAAGAAGGAGTGTCTGCAGGCCCTGCAGGAGCACTTGTGGGTTGCCTGTTAGTTTTAGGATTATCTCCTCTGGCTTGTAGAGGAGGGAGCCCCAGGACAGAGGTGGTTGCGTGCATCAGGGTACACTGCTGCGGCAAATCCCTGGGAGGATTTTCCAAAAACTGTATGAATGCTCAAATACAAAGCAGTGGTGGATCCTGCAGCTCTCACCCCGAACGTGCGATCTCAAGTCATTTTGTTGCCTGGCTAAAAGCCCCCGCAGGGATCTAAGGGCTGTTTTGCTGTTGTTTGAATACAGATGTGTCGGGGAGCACAGACAGCAGCTGCAGCGGCACCCCGTATCAAGAAGTTTGCCATCTACAGATGGGATCCTGATAAGCCTGGGGACAAGCCCCGCATGCAGACGTATGAAGTGGATTTAAATAAGTGAGTATGCCCCGTCAGGGAGAGGATTTGCTGCCAGGCAGATGCACTGGGGCTGTGTGTGCACTTAGGTTATCTGACAAATGATAACAGAGAGTGGTTAAGGAGTACTTGAGCTGACAGCTAAAGGTGTCAGCAGTCTTACTAAGCTTCAGGGACTATTAAAACCTTGTTGGAGTGGCCAGGAAGGTGGTGCCTCAGCTGGGTTACAGAGCACCTTGTTCTCAGTGCAGGTAAGATCAATGTTATTTCCTGATAAACCAAATCTTACTGTGATCATGTGGGATTATTTTCCCCTCCCTCACCTGTCAGTGCTGAGTGTGGAAATAAAACTATACTCTGAGTGCCAGTGTCTGAACAGCTGCCAGCAGTGAAATGATCACTTTGTTTTGTGACTTCTGTGAAGTTTTACCTGTGTCCTTGAGTTGTGTTGAAGACTTAAATGTGTTTGTGGCTTTAAGAAGTGTTATTTATATGGTAAATTCGGGAGCATGTTCCAAAAGGAAACTGTTTTGTGTATAACTTGCGGTCCCAGACCTGGGAAATGAAGTAGAAGCTTTCAACTCTTCTCATAGTTTTCTTAACGCTTAGTTAATTCTAACTTGCTGGTCATGTTAAATGTGTAGTAACCACCTGCACACTTTGGTGTAGCTATCACTGAGAAGCTCTTCTCCGCAGTTCTACAAAGGGGTGCAGTCTTCCCCGTGGTGCAGAAACCTTTGTGTGGGCACATGTGCCTCGATTTCCCTATGCTTTTGCCATATGAGTTCACCTTGAGCCCTTCCTGAAAGCTTCAGATACAAAGCCACGCAGCGCTCTGCTTAAGCACATGATGGAGAGCTCAAATTTTTGTGACTTGCACCACTTAATAATTTCTGGGTGTTTCCTTGACTGCTGTATATAAAATTACATAAGTTGTCCAAGACTGTTTTTGTGTGCAGCACTGCCTCTTGTGACTAATGACAGGCAGACTTGTCAAAACCTGACCCAAAAGGAAAGAACTGGTAGTAAGGCACTCGGTTTTCAGTTGTGCTGTCTGAACACTCTCCAGTTGAGCCAAATCTTCAGGGTATTGGGGAGAAAAAGGGCTTTTCTCCCACCCTTGACCCTGAGGTGTGCTGAGGTGAATGGGTTTGTGCTGCTGATCAAGATATCTCTATGTTGTTGCCTGGCATTGGCAAAAAAAACGGTGTATTTTTCATTGTAGTTGATCAAAGTTGTTTTTAGGTGCTGCTTAGTTGGAGATCAAGCGCCGAGGCTGAGGGGGAATTATATGGGTTCACTGACTTTGTTCTCTGTATAGATGTGGGCCTATGGTGCTCGATGCTCTGATCAAGATTAAAAACGAGTTGGACTCCACTCTGACCTTCCGCAGATCGTAGATTTTTCCAGCCTGCTAAACTGAAGATTGCCCTTTGTAGACTGTTTATTGCTGACAGCGTACGTGCAACCACTAGAAAACGTCAGGGTAGATGGCAGCTTACCACTCTCCTCTTCCAGCTGCTGCATATGAAATACCTCAATGAATCAAGTAGTAAAGTTAAGGCTCATATTCACGCGGTGTAATCTCACAACACTGAGCTCTGAGCAATACGCTTAAACAGTCCCAGTCATTCCTGTTTCTGTCCTAATCTTGTTCATCTTGCTGCCCTCCAGTGACGGACTGCGTAGGGAAATCTAGCCAGAGAGATTACAACAGCAAAATTGAGGGGGTAGACGTGGCGAACGGGAATGAATTGTAGGGGCTGCTTTATCTGGTGCTGCTGTGGCAATAAGAAAGGGTGTAACTGGAGGAGTGCTTAGGACTTCTAGGAATAGCTTCAGGAATCTTTTTTTGGGCCCTTTGACTAAGCTAAGTGATTGAGGAAAAGGCCATCTGGTGGTTTTACATTGCAGAGCTACTGGCTGATTCTGCTACAGGTATAAATCTGCTTGTCTGTTTAACTGCATTAAAACCTACCTGTCCAGGTGACTTTCCCTGTTTAAAAAAAAAAAATCCTAATTCATGAGTAATGTTGGGATGCTGAGCTTAAAATGATAGTTGTGGAAGTGCAGGAAGGGAGGATGCCTTTATGGAATGACTTGATTTAATTAGGTGGGTTTGCAAGTATGAGAAATTAGGTGCAATTGATGCCTAAAGATGTTTTGACTTGGATCTAAATGAAAAGTATGCTTTAATGCAGCCGTTTCCCGTAGAATCTGCATAGCAGGCAGAGGAATTTCATGTGGAGTGGTTGTTCTCAGTGTCTGATATTTAGATAGCCAGCACTGTTCCCAAGCAGCTGGAGTTAATTGCCCTGAAAACTTTTCTTTGAGAACCTGAAGACAGATTTTTTCAAGCTGGACTGGTTCAATCTTGCCCGTTTTCTACCATGCGGGAAAAAAAATCCAATCATGCATTCCTGTTGCATACTCGTGGGCCTGTGTCTGCAGTTCTGTTGTTTTCTCCAGTTGATTGGAAAATACTTGTAACCATTTCTCGAGTGGGAGGAATAACCTTGTTCAAGTGCCAGCCTTTACCCGGCAGCGAGGGGAAGGATTGCCAATCCAGCAGGCGCTGAGGAGGACTCATTCCCTGCCAGCGTGAGGAGCAATGGCATTTCTCTGACTCATATCAATTGATATGTGTCAAATCCTTTGAAATTAGAGTTTTGCCCTTTCAACACTTCTCTTTCTAATATGATGTCTTAGGCATCAGTCTGAATTGGATACCCAAGCTCCTGACCTGAGCAGTATCTGTGGCAGTTCTGCAGTGTTTTTTCTTGTAAACCTTGGCCTTTCCTGGGCTACATCTGATCCTTCAATTACTGGGAGACCATTAGTGGTGTCATTTAATCCATTTGTTAAGCTATTTATATGCTGCTTGTTCTGGTGAGTGTCTGTCCTCTCACCTTTGGGAGTTAATGAATGCAGTTTATGGCACTGCTCTACCCTGCTGCAGAAGGCTCAGAAAGAAGCTTCTGTCTTAGGGACTTTGTTTTATGTTCCGGACCTTCAGGGATGCTTTTGACAGTAACTGTAGGGCTGATGGGGGATGCATCTAGTTCCTGTGTTATAATCTTAGCGCTAGCTGCTTCGCATCAATACCAGCTTGTGCTTCAAACCTGTTAACAAAGCTGAATGTTTTCCCCACCCTAAGTAGCATGTAGAACTAATGAATGATGTGGAAGGGATGAAGTGTCCAAGCCACTTTGTTTTTTGCTGTGGAGGGAAGTTCAACGCTGGGAATGTGTTTAGGCTTTAATGAAAGTGACTCCTGTGTTTGTTCTTCATTTAAATAGCATCGTGTTTGGCCCAATGGCAACTTCTGGCGTTTTCCTTGTCACGTACAGGTTTCTTGAAGGCAGCCAGGGGGGCATATTTGGGGCCAAGAGGATCTTCCTCCAGTCGGTTAAGAGGGTAAATATCTAATGCTTTGCTCTTTTTCTCCCACTCAGGCATCTGCGGCTCTTGCGCTATGAACATTGCTGGCGGAAACACGCTGGCCTGTATCAAAAGAATCGACCCCGATCTCAACAAGATCACTAAAATCTACCCTCTCCCCCACATGTATGTGGTTAAGGACCTCGTTCCGGTGAGTATCTGCCTCTGTCGGCTCACGACCGAGGGTGACACCGTTCCAGGCAGCGCAGGGTTCAAATTGGGTTGGAAGGGATAACGCTGGGAGGTGCCAACAAGATCAGGTCTCACAATTCACGTTACTCCTGCTGGTGTTTTCTGGCTTGGGTGGGTCTGAGCTTCACAGCAGTGACTAAATCTGTCCTCATTTGGAGGAATGTGGCAGGTTGAGGTAGAAAATGCCGCCTTCTGTTGGAGTGGTAGCAGATGTTCAATCTCTCGTGCATGAATTTAGCTTAAATGTGACCTCTTTGCCTTTTGACTCCTAGGACTTGAGTAACTTCTATGCACAGTACAAATCCATTGAGCCTTACCTGAAGAAGAAGGATGAGTCGAAACAGGGCAAGGAGCAGTACCTGCAGTCCATAGAAGACCGTCAGAAACTGGTTACTGCTTCTTTTCTACCATTGAAGTCCCTTACAGATAAGACCAGGGTTAAACATTAACATGCAGTAGCTTCTAGTTCCTTTAATACCAAAGCTGTCTGGTGCAAAACCCGACGTGGGTGGAATCTGCTCCCTGAAATGCAGTGTCATGGCATGCCTGCATTGCTGGGGTAACGTTTGCTAATGAAAGGCAGTCGCGGTTGCGATGGGGACTCTGATCTCATTTCCACTGTCTGCGCTGCGAAACTGTGTGCGTTTGTAAAAACACTGTGAAGGCTACAGGCTTGTAATATTCCAGTGGAGATAAGGCACTGCAGTTTATGCTGGCATGTAGGCTGTCGGGTTCAGCACTGTCTGTCTTGTCTAGCTGCAGCATGCTAAGCAATGCTCTCATGTTGCTGCTTGCTGGGTTTTACAGCCCTAAAAACTAATGGCAAAAGCTAAACCCTTTTGGATGTGGAGACGCAAGCCTGATGTGTTAGTGCAAGTCTTCGGATGTGTGTCTTGAGCACCGTGTTCTTTTGAGGGGATTTTTCTGGGAATGTAATGTTGTTGGTCCAAAGTTTCTGCGTAAATCTGAAGGGTGTCTGAGGAACCATTTGAACAGCCGGGACATAATAGCTTTTTAAAAGGCTTATAGCATGGGTAAGTTCTTGTCTGGATTTCCTTGGCTGCCACAGTAAGTGTCATTAAATCAGCAGTTTCTCTTTTGCCTCTGACCTCTCTTGATGGATCCGTCACTCACTGCGTGGTTCAAAGCTCGGCCTGTCAGTGCTCCGCTGTGATCGTTTCTGCGGTGCCGTCACTGAGTAGGCACAAAGTGGGCTGGCAGCCTAGATTTTGGCAAGTGGTAAGAGGTGAATATGAGCAGAGCAAAGAGGAACGCTGGTTAAAGGGGATTCGATGAAAACATGTGAGCTGCAGCCTAATTCTCTGCAGTGATCTTTGAACGCTTCCAGTTATGTGCGTTTGCTGTGGAGTGAACCTCTGATGAATAGAGCAGCCACGGGCCAGAGGTGTCGGCAGCACCGTGCGACTGGTGCTGTGACGTCTTGACGTCTTAACATGTAACAATAAAGAATCCCTATAACAATAAAGAATCCCTATCTGAGGGCAACGGTTAGTTCTCCTGCACCACTTCATAATGTTATTTGATCCATATGTAAGGACTAACGGGACTTTCCCTTCACATGGTTTTCATAAAGCGGCATCCTTGAGGTCACTTTCTCGTGCAAGTAGAAGTAAACCTAAAAGCAACTGCAAGAGAACGGCCTGTGTGCAGGAGAAACTTGGGTACAATGTCAGCTGAAAAAATCCCACCTTTTTCTTTAAATCATCAATCATTTCAAATGCTACAATTAGAAATAAGACAAATTTAGAGTGCGAAGGTAACTCTTGACTTACCTAGCTTTGGCAAGCCTTTCCAAAAGACTGATACGGTAGACTTGTTACAAGCTCCCGGGAGTTCTGGCATCAGCTAGCTTTCTCAACTAAATATAATGAGACCTTTGTCCCAAAACAACTTTCAGAATGCATAAATTAAGCCAGACTGGGCTCTCCTGTGGGGTTGATAGAGCTACTGGGAGACTTGGGAGACCCTCTGCTCCTCAGAGCTTGTCTTCTGCCCAGTGTCATTTCCATGTAGGTCTAACTTTTCTTCAGTGCCTGAAATAAAAAGGCCTTCACCTCTAAAAGTGGTGAAATAGATAAAGACTCACACCATTCCTGTTCTGTAAGTGCTTGGGGATCCCCTCAAAGCACACACAAAACTCTGAGCTCTTTTCTCTCAGGCTGTTGGGCAAACTTTGGTCTGTCTTTGTTAATTGGTTACATATCTGTTCCTTAGCCACTTACTGGGACGGGCTGGAAGGAATGCAGAAAGATGAAGCAATCTTCATGTTTTTTTTCAGTTTATGCTCTTTCCGCCCCTGTTGTCACAAGCCCCTAGTTTATTATATGGGTTGAGTTGGGAGGATTGCATGCATCTTGCTTCAGAGGACCCGCGTGTCGGAATCGCTTTCTTCCAGCAGTGCTGCTTTGGCATCAAGTTTTCAGAGCCACTCTGTTGCGGCAAGTCACTGGAGGGGAAGGCGGTGAGGGAAGCATGTGCTTGTGTAAATCCCCTCTTTGGAAAAAAAAAAAGGCTTTGTCATGGGTTTCTGGAGTGGCTTGACTGTGGTCTCCCGCCCCTGTGCAGGACGGACTCTACGAGTGCATCCTGTGTGCCTGCTGCAGCACCAGCTGTCCCAGTTACTGGTGGAACGGGGACAAGTATTTGGGTCCTGCAGTTCTGATGCAGGTAAGGACGGGTCCCATTTGTTCCTCGAGACTGCTGAGGGACTCCCTATCCAAAAGCAGTACAAATATTTATGAGCACAGGTGGGATAGTATTACGTAGTCCAGATCCTGCACCAAAATCCCCGAGTTAGGCATTGCTTTTAAAAAGCTCACGCTGATTACAACACCCTGAAGAAGCGTTTGGTCTGTGAAATGCCACTGACTTTCAGGCCTATCGCTGGATGATTGACTCCAGAGATGACTACACAGAGGAGCGCCTGGCACAGCTGCAAGACCCGTTTTCTCTCTACCGTTGTCACACTATCATGAATTGCACAAGGACTTGCCCAAAGGTATGTGTGTGTCCTGTGTATATCCCTTTGGGGTTACTGGCTTGTTTCGAAGCACCCTGTTTCCAACCAATAAGAAAATACCCGCATAGGTTTTTGTTTTCCTTAAGCTTGCCTTGGCTTGTTCAGCCTTTTGCAACACGGTGACTTATCAGCAGCCTTGCTCATGATAGTGACTGTACAAGAGGACGTGGCAAAGTTTCTGTTGCACACGGCAAGGACCATCTCTTCCTTGAGATGTCCTGCGTATATCCCTTTGGGGTTACTGGCTTGTTTCAAAGCACCCTGTTTCCAACCAATAAGAAAATACCCGCATAGGTTTTTGTTTTCCTTAAGCTTGCCTTGGCTTGTTCAGCCTTTTGCAACACGGTGACTTATCAGCAGCCTTGCTCATGATAGTGACTGTACAAGAGGACGTGGCAAAGTTTCTGTTGCACACGGCAAGGACCATCTCTTCCTTGAGAGGAAGGCTGTGACTTTGAGAACCTGTCTGTTTTCCAAGATTTAGGAGTGTAACACTAGGGTGCTGGTAGTGTGAGGGACACTGCCAGAAGCTGTACGGGGAGGTGTGTCCGGCATAGTCCCATCGGTGGTGTGAGCCTTGTGAGTAATATGCTTAACCCCCACACGGTACGACCTTAAACTCCAACGGTAGCAGCTATCCCTGATGTATTGTGCAACTTGTGTAATGGAGAAGGCTACGGCAAGTTTTCAGCGCCTTTGGGGCACGTGTATTACGTCGATGTCCTGCTGTCGGGGCATTCCCCAGACGGTCTGTTCTCTCTGGTTTTTCTTCTGAGGACTGAGCAAGCTTTCCCAAATCAGAGCATGCCTCTTCCTCATCTTGCAGTTTCCTTGTGCCTGTTGTTGGGCAGATTATCGAGTTTTGCTTTGCTGCCAGCTGTGCTGTTTTCTAGCCAGCCTTTGCTTGCACCTAGTAGTGGAGTAATTCTGGAGCTGTGAAATAATGTGAAGGCAAATGTTTGAGTGGATCACAGATGTGGGGAAAAGGAGAGCCCAGAGATCTGAGTTGACAGGTCAGGACCACTGCATCCTGATATTTTTTTTTTGGTGGAGTATTCTGAAGTGATTCACTGACAACGAGTAATTCCCCCTTTGTATAGGGAGCTAGCTCATGATCTGGTGTCAACCATAGTTCGGCTAAAGGTGAAGGTTCAACTTAAAGATCTGGCTGTATGTAGGAATGTATGTAGCACAGGGAAATAGCATGCTGAGGCTTGGTCTCAAGTTTGAGATACGTTTTATGGTTAATAACACACTTCACTGGCATGCTCTAGTCCTGACTGTTGTCTCGATCAGCCCTGGAAGACTGTGTGGTGAGCTGTGCACCCGGGTAATGTCCTGTTGGTTCTCTGTCCCACGGTGCTGCTGCTGTAATCGCAACCATAGAGCAGGACAACCGCAATCCCCCGCTCATTTTCAGATTAGACATGCTTGATTTGGTAGCAGTGCTGCAGGATTAAGGGCCTTTGCAACATGACATGTATCTAGAACCTTCTTAGGAAAGGTTAGCTTTAGCATTTCCATCTTGTGACTTCATGTTCTTGCTCACTTTCCTAGTGTCCTCCAATGCACAGTGCCTTTTTTATTTCAGAGAAGGAGAAAAGCCACATCTCTTGTACTGTCACTGTGTTGAATTCGGCAAATTCAATTTAAAAGTGTTGAATTCAGTCCTGCTTGAACTTATTAAAAGTTCCTATCGCTCAGCCGCTCATTCTTCTCTTTGATCCTCGCGTTGCTGATTAAAACCAGTCCTCCAAAGTCAAATGAGCATTTTTCTTCAAGCAGTAGGAAGTGCTGCTGGTTCAGCCTCCAGGTAGAGGAGGTGAGCTCCAAGCTGGAACACTGCCTTTACCCCAGGCTGGCTTGCTCTTCCCTTCTAAATTGAGGCTGGAGTGCAGCAGACCTGTATCAGCAGACATCTGAGGGACGCTGCGTACCACGGTGCCCAACCTGCCTGGAGCGGGCTCTTCAGAGCTGTCCCTCAGTATCCTGTAACCTCATAGAATAGAATCATTAAGGTTGGAAAAG